GGGGGGGAGGGGGAGAAAAACAATACTTCCATGAACGTGTGTCTCCTTCCGCGGGTCAACGCGAGGTCAACGCGACAGGAAACACAACACGATGATCAATATGAGTCTCTACAAATGTGGGGAAATGTGCTTTTCATGACTGCACATCAGGCGGACCATGTTCAGAGGGTCGCAGACTGTCGGTCTGCTGAGATTCTCTTTGCACAACAGGAGACTACAAACACACACACACACACACACACACACACGCACACACATGCACACACACTAGATCCATGTTCAGAAGTTTAAACTGTGGATGCTGAAGGAAACGAACCTGGAGGCTCCTCCGGCTCCTCGATCCTTGAGCTGTGTGACGTACTGTGATCAGACTCATCAGCCTCAGTAACCGAACGGAAAACAGGCGTTTTTATTTTTGCCTTGGGAACTGGTCTCGTCAAACCCAGCTGGAATCGGCTGCAGATGATTTTATGTCATGTTTTATTGTAAAGCCTATTGTGTTTACTGTGTGTGTGTGGATGTGTGTGTGTGTGTGTGTGTGTGGATGTGTGTGGATGTGTGTGTGTGTGTGTGTGTGTGTGTGTGTGCAGAGAAAAGAACAAACAAAAAGGCCGGGGTCCATCCTTTGCCATTTTTTTGCTTCAAGCCTAAAAAAATGACGACCGTCGTGCAAACGGAAAAGAAATAAAAGATAAAAACTTTCTAAATGATCTGTGACGTTAACGGTGAGCCTTGCTTTATGTCGTGTGTCCTGCTTTTTGATTTTTCATGGATGTTTTTCATGGATGTTTCCTCGTCGACCCCAATCATCATACGATTTTTTTTTTTTTTTTAGTTTTTCAGTGGATATCGGAAGGGAATATTTTTCTCAGCTGTCTGACAGGATTCTGATCGAAGAAGAGATTCCCATGGTGCTAAAATAATAAAAACACACACTGAATGACTGAATGGAGGCTTTCCAATGGAGACGGCCACTGCACTGCACCAACAGCACTAGTCCTGTGGAACTACAACTTTGCCTTAGAACCAAACGTCTGCTAGCGGAGGCCGTGTGTTGTGTCAGCGGAGAGTTTTCTCCAGGTTGTTCTGCAGCGTGTTTCATTTGTTTGAAGATCTTGAATGGTTTTATTGTGGAAAAAAAAAAGAAATACATGGGAAGTGTAGTCCGAGTGTGAGATAGTGTGTTTTAACGGTGCATGTGTGTTCACGTCATTTTTGTAGCTAATCTCAGAGACACACACACAAACATGCTAACATGCAAACATGTCCATAAAATACACAAAAGTCTTTTTTTTTGTGCATTTCCCACCCGGTGTCCGAACGCACACTCCTCCCCTCTGTAAGCAAAGTGTTGTAAAGTTAAAGGAGTGTCAGATGCATCGTCTCTGTGTTGACTTCATTATGTGTAAGTGTGTGTTATAGGAGATCATAGAGAAACATTGTGTGTGTGAGCGTGTGTGTGTGAGTGTGTGTGTGTAAGCTGCATGTTAATAAGTTGACTCATTCACTGCTGTACGTGCCAAGCTCCAGGTGACCCCTGACCCCCCTGTAGTTTTCTGTTTCATCATTCCACCTCTGTGTCTGTAGCTCAGAGACGCTGAGCAGACGTCCTCTGCATCAGTCAATAAAATACACACAGGTTAAAATAAAACTGTGCCTGTGTCATATGTTATTTCTACGACTAAAGTTGTGTTGAGAGTTTTAAATGAGAAAACATGGGACACAAGTGACGACCGTTAATCCATGATTCAAATCCTGACTTTAAAACTTTGTGGTAATTATTAAACATCGTTGTCAACCTGAGGATCAAACCTCGGAGGAGATCGACGGCTCGGACAAAACTTCACTTCTCAGTTTCTTTCTACTTCACTCAGCAGTAATTCTTTGAATCTTGTCTCTCATGTTTAAGTGAAATCAAATAATAAGTAATTACGGTTAAATAAATTATCGTTCTTAATATTTTGATTATCTATTATTTCAAATAATGTTTTTGTTTTCATAGTTTATAGTAAAAAATGTTTATGGAATTTCAAGATACATTTTAATAACGGTTTTTTTTAAAATGAAATTTAACCACAAGATTTTGTGTCAGTTCTGGATCTTTTGGTCCTGTCACATGATCTTCTTCAGCAGAGGGAGTTTGTCTATAGTTTTTGTGGATGTTCACATTTTCCTTTTTCTGTTTCTCCACGTTTTAAAAAAAAAGAAGTCTGATTTATTGTGAAATCCATCCTGTACCTCTGTAACATATCTGCCACAAATTTTAAAAAATATGTTTTAGTTTTCAGTTTTTTTTTGTTACTGACATGTTTCTATAATATTCCAGCTAACGGGTCTAAATTAAATCAAAATTAAATACAGCTCTCTGTAATTTAAACACATTTGGTTTTAAAGTGACTGTAGAATATTAAACAAACCACCGGGTTAATTAGAAGTAAAATCTCAATTAAAAAAAAAACAGTCTCGAAAAATATTAAATTAAATTAGATGATGGATTTTTTTGTGCATGTTCTCTTTACTTGCTTCTCATTTTTATCGTCTTGATTTATTTTCTCTGACGTTGTCGGAATCAAAACTTTATGAGAACATAGAGGACGAACAACTTACCGTCATAGGATCAGTCTGAAGAGCTTCAGTTGTCACAAACACACAAACACACACATTTTTTATCTTTTGCGCACAAGATTAAAAAAATCTCATCTTTTGAGATTTCAGGGGCTCTGAAGATAAAACAAGTTCCCCCTGAAAAACTATAAACCTCAGTATTTGTTTATGAGTCATTTTACTTACAATTAACGGTCGTTGGTGTTGTATGACTTTGTTGTGTAACTACAGAGTGAAACCAAAACTACAGGCCCCACAATACATCAGCATACAATTCAAAAAGTGTGTGAGCGTCTAAAGCTGCAGCAGCAGGTCAGTGTTTTAACTTTGTCTCCACACATAGGTCATCAAGAGAACTGCACTCAGTAAAGGAACACTTCACCCAAACTACTAAAAAAAATCTAATTTTACCATTTCAAACGAAATGAAACTTGATGAAGTATGAAAACAGTTGTTAATCTACTTGAAATATGTTCAATAAAAACCTTTCATTGGAAACTTCGCATTGTTCCCGCTCTAATCCACAAGTGCATACGTTTGCTCTTTTGTTAGAGACCTTCAGTTATTAATATTTACCAAATGATTGCAGCTACATTTTTAACTCAGTGTTTTAGCCATATTAGACAATAGATTAGAATAGTAGAAGAGAATAGTTTAAGTGTGAATCATAATTTCTTGGTGTATTTAACCAACAGTTCAAAAAGCAAATATATGTCATTTATGTGACGACATATAAAAGCAGCAAATCTTCACACTGAGAACCAAGATCCAGGACATTTCTGGCTTTTCAGTGTGAAAGATGAATCTTCTGTTGAATAACGCAATCGTTCTCAGACATATATGTTTTCAAACAATATCCTGGTCGCTCTGGATAATGCACAAACCCCAGTGTCAAGAGTTCATCATGAACTATTTCCACTAATATATCAAATGAAATCGAAATAACTTTAAATCAAACAGAGCTTTTAAACTGCTGTTGCAGCAACTGTAGACGCACAGTTCACTCATCCGCCTTCAATACCCATAGTGCACCATGGCTGCAACGAACAAAAAATAAGCCAATGGTGTTTCCATAAAAAGTCTTATTTTTCGGATTCCGAGGGGCTGAATCTAAAATTAATTTTGCAATTTTCTTTGGGAAACATTAACTAATGAAAATAGAAACGGAAACCTCGATAACTGCAGAGCTGACTGCAGCTGTAACAACTGGATGCACTCATTCAGCCGACAGTTCCCATAATTCACCACGTCTACACTACAGAGAGGCAAAACTCGGAAATACCAATTTAAAACCAACATTTTTCTATTGATACGACGCTTGAGACTAAATGTGATGATAATGAAAAGTTCCTTGGAAACCGTTGTTTTTCGATTTGACATAAGAATCTCAGTAAAACACCCGCATCACCATGACAACGGAGAAAAAACTCAACCTGCGGAGGAAGATCACTGGATTTGATGAAAAGCTCCAGAGTGCAGATGTGAGGTGCAGCTCATTCTGTCCAAACATCATTTTTGGTCACATAGCATCTTTAATACCACCATTATAATAATTAGGATATCAAAAGTATCGAGTATACATACATCATTTGCATTGCGGTACACAAATCTGAGCTGATTTATGTTTTTATATCTGTCATTCGTTGTTCTCAGGATCAACTTTTATTGTCTCGACATTTGTGCTGATACATTGAATCGTCCTGAAGAACTCGACGCTATTTCAGGAAGGAGAACATTTAATTGGACATGTATTGTTAAGTAATATAAAAAGTTTTTTTGATATTTCCAAATGTAACTTGAATCCTATAGTCTACTACTTTCCAATACCAATAATCAAGAATCTTGATATAAGCCAAACTAGAGTCCATGTCACCAAACTCAGAGTACTTCAGGTAGGTGTCCTCACCCACTGTGTTCTGGATATTCTGTCGTTTTTCTTCTCTTTTTTTGCAGTTAAAGTTCTTGAAGCTGTGGGAACAGTCTCTTGAAGCCATGCCTGTTTTTGTAACAGTCCCAGTAAATGGATTCTCAGGAGTCTGAAGATGTGTGTGTGTGTGTG